CCAACTGCGGTCTGACCAGCGCCCGATAGAGGGGAAGCATCACCTCCTTGGACCTATTCGTCATGCACCTACTGATGCATGATAAAGTGCCATTAGCTTTGCTGATAACTTCATCACACTGCCGACTCATGTTCATCTTGGAGTCCACTAGGACTCCAAGATCCCTTTCCACTTCCGTGCCACCCAGCAGGTCATTCCCTAGGCTGTAGGTGTGCTGGACATTTTTCCTCCCTAGGTGCAGCACTTTGCATTTCCCCTTGTTAAATCAAATTCTAATGTTTTCTGCCCACTTGTCCAACCTGTCCAGGTCTGCTTGTAGTTGTTCCCTGCCCTCCAGCGTGTCCACTTCTCCCCACAGTTTTGTATCATCTGCAGACTTGGACAGTGTACACTTCACTCCCTCGTCCAAGTCGCTGATGAAGACATTGAAGAGTATCGGTCCAAGGACCGAGCCCTGTGGGACCCCACTGCCCACACCCTTCCAGGTCGATACCGACCCATCCACCACCACTCTGGCTACGACCCTGTTGCCAATTCGCCACCCACCGGACTGTAGTCATCCGGGTCACAGCCTCTTAACTTGTTCACCAGTATGGGGTGGGATACCGTATCGAAGGCCTTCCTGAAGTCTAAGTAAATGATGTCCACCCGTACTCCTGCGTCCAGGTATTTTGTAACCTGGTCATAAAAAGAGACTAGATTAGTCAGGCATGATCTACCCACTACGAACCCATGCTGGTTTCCCGATGTGTATATGCATGTGTGTTTATATAGTAGAGGTTGTCAGAAACACAGGCAAGATAAACAGGATAGACTGCAACCAGTTAAGTGTTTAGTTGTAAAGTCAGTTTGCCCCACCATACCACACAAATATTGGAATAATCTTGGATTTTTCCTCATGTGCATGGGCTTATTTTGGTGTAATTTTAATGAGCTGAGAAGCTGACATTGAGTTTTTGGGAGATGACAAAAAGAGTGAAGTCTGCCCCAGAAGTCCCTTTTTTTTTTCTTTCTTTCTTTCTTCTGCCTTTTAAGTGTGCCATAAATGCCGTTTTGTCATGTTCGTGGCTTGAGCACTGCCGCTACAGACTCTTAGGCCGACTCATCTCCCCTGTGCACAGAGGATTTAAAACCCCACCTTCCCTAGATCCCTGCTAGGGCAAGCTGGAGACATGCAGCTTGCTGAAGGAAGTTACTAGACAACATTTATCAGGAGGTTCAAAGACACTGCGGTAACAAAAGATTGATCCTAGTCAGTGAAGGACCCTAACCCTGGGTCCTGCTACCTTTAAAAAAGCAATGTGGGCTTTGCCCTCCTCCCGCATCAAGGCTCTCTGCATGGCTACGCTAACGGCCCATTTCATATCTGTCTGTCCCGTGGAAAGAGCACGGTCTGAATTGGATAAGAAGGCAGCATGCTCACGGATTTTTTTTGTCTCCTATCTAGCCGGTGCCAACAGCGCTGGCTCAGGTGGATCGCGAGAAGATCTACCAGTGGATTAATGAGCTGTCCAGCCCCGAGACCCGCGAGAACGCCCTACTGGAGCTGAGCAAGAAGCGGGAGTCAGTGCCTGACCTGGCCCCAATGCTATGGCACTCATTCGGCACGATTGCAGCCCTCCTCCAGGTGTGTAGGGTTGTTGCGGGGGTGTTCCCAGCCAGCCAGCCTCCTGCTTGCTGTCACTCTCGGGGTTCAGGCTACTCGGGTCTTTGGGCTCTCAGAGGCTGACATCTGCCACCAGCCTCCTGGAGCCTGGGTGTGATACAGAATAAATGACTTGAAGGAAAGAGATCTTGGAGTCCTTGTAGATAGTTGACTAAAAACATCAGCTCCATGCTTAGCAGCCATCAAAAAGGCAAACGTGTTAAGGATGATTAAGAAGGAATTGTGAACAAAACTGACAGTATCACGATGCCCCTTTATATATCCATGGTGCATCCACGCCTTGAATACTGTGCCCAGCTGTGGTCCCCACACCTCAAAAAGGATATAGAGAAACTAGAGAAGGTCCAGAGAAGGGCAGCAAGGACAGCTAGTGCTATGGAAGGGCATCAGTGTGAGGAGAGACTAGAGAGGCCAGGACTGGTCAGTTTGGAAAAGAGGTTGAGGGGGGACATGACAAGGGCTTACAAAATATTACATGGCAAAAAGAAAGTCACTAGGGATTTATTATGGACTGTCTCTCGCCAGACAAGAACAAGGGGTCACAGCATGGAACTAGTAAATCGTAAGTTTTACCTGGCAGTTCTTGTTCACCTAGCATGTCATTAAAGCGTGGGACTTGCTGCCAGCAGGTCTGGTGGGAACCGATGGTTTAGCTAGATTCACAAAGAAATTGGATATGTTCTCAAAGGAAAGGGGCATCCGGAGCTATTGAGTATGGGGGTGAGTGTCACAGCCTCTGAATCAAAACTTTCTAATCCAGTAGTTTTCAATCTGTGGTCCACAGACCCTTGGGGTTCTGCAGCTTGTCTAAGGGATCTGCAAAAGATGACTGTTATCAATCAAAAGCATGTGAATACCCACAGTTACAATTCCAAGAGGTCTGCTCCTCCATTCGAAATTTCCAAAGGGGTCCGTAAATGATAAAAGGTTGAAAATCACTGGGCTGGACAAATGGTGGAAGCTGCAAGGGAGAGAGGAACAGTGGAAAAAACCTTTATTAGACCCAGGTCACTCTCCCTTTCAGTGTCTGCTGCCGTGTGACACCGGGGGGGAGACACGGGACTGGGCAAGATGGAACCAGGACGTGGCAATTCTTATGTTCGGTGACAAAAGCTTAGAGAGGTTTCTTAGCTTTTAGGACAGTGCACTAGCAGGACTGTTTAGCCATCCTCTCAGCTCAGCGTAACTGTCTCTTGCCAACTGCAGCTGCCGGCTGCCACGTTCGGGTATCTAGGGCTCACTCCCTGCTGATTTGGGGCTTCTCCAGCTTGCGTCCTGCTGAGTTTGGACTTTCCCAGCTCACCCCCTGCTGAATCCAGCTTGCCTCTTGTTATTTCTACTGTACTAGTCAAGCCTAACTTCTTATTCGTTGGGAAGCCAGCTACTCCCAAGGTCCTTTGCAGGTGCCATAGCTTACCTCAAGCTTTGTATAACTACAGCCTGGTGTATCCAGAACCCCTACACATGTCCTTGGCTTCTCCACTCTCTCCCCCAGTTCCCTAGTAACACGGACTACTCCCTGGTTTGGGTGGCAGTTAGTTGGGCGCTCCCCAACTGCATGGAGAGATGCTCCAGATAAACACACCCACATCCTTCCCTGCCCAGACACAGCTGTTTGCCTCTTCCCCAGGGCACTATATTCCATAGCAGCTCCTCAACATCCAGCACATGGCTGTCCTTGGAGGAAAGGAAGTCAGGGAGGCAGGCATGCAGAGTTAAACTTCTCTTTGGAAGGGACCAGGGGAGGAGGTGAGAAGCTGTTAGAAATGAGCATGGGGTTGGGAAGAATTTTTTTCCCCCTCCTGCTGCTACATGTCAGAGTTTTGGTTCTTTTTAAACTGCTCTGAGGCATTGGGTGCTGGCTACAGCCCAGGGTGGAGGCTGGGACCAGGCTGTGCCAAAGTTGGAGTTTCCTGGCTAGAGGGTTTTGCCCCTCTGATGAGGGTCAGATTGATGCCAGATTTGGGGTCAGGAAGGAATTTTCCCCCATGGTCAGATTTGTATGGACTGGAGTTGGGGTTGGGGGGAGGTGGTGTTTCTCTTTGCAGCCTCTACCTGGAGTCACTCAAGCATATATTAACTCCCTTTGCAGCAGCAGGAAGTTGGCGGCCATGGTACCCCTGGGGCAGGGGTGGGGGCGATGCCTGGGGCTGTGTCGGGGGTGACTGTCATTTTGCTCAGAGGTTGGATAATAGATTTGTCGGGGTGGTTTGGACAGGGCTGATCCTGCCTCGGGCAGGGATTCGATTAGATATGAACTCCGGAGGTTCCTTCCAGCCCCACTTCTTTATGACAGGGGTAGGTCAGAAGCTTTGTACTTCTCAAGACCTCTCTTGTACTCATGGGACCCTGTGATTTGGTCCTGTAGAGTCAGTTCAGGGAGAACAGAGGTCCCAGCACACAGCAGAGCTGGGCAGAGTTTTGCATTCTGGGATGGTTGGGCACGGTGTAGGTGCTTTTCTCTGCAACTGTGTAAGTACCTGCAGGTGCTGGCTGGGAGTCTAAGAATCATAGACTCCTAGAGCCATGGGGCTGGCAGGGAACTGAGGTCACATTTAGTCCAAGCTGTGCCCAAGACAGGATCCGCCCCGTCCAAACCTGCCCAGACAAACCCTGTGTGCGACCTCTGAGCCGCACGACACAGTTGCCCCTGACACAGCCCCGGGCATTGCCCCCCCCACCCCTGAGATACAGTGGGGCTACAGCCACCAACGTCCTGCTGCTGCCAGGAGGGTTGGTGGGCACTGGAGAAAGCCCAGGCGTAGGCAGTGCCCCACTGCAGAGGGAGGGGAAGCCCCCCAGCCGGGCCAGGCCAAGCAGGGGGCAAATCCCTGCCTGCCACCCCAAAGCAGTGTGAGTGGGGGGGGCAAGAGCCTCTAGCCAGGACCCTGCGGGTCACAGTCTCCAGCCTGGGCTGCAGCCAACACCCAGTGCCTCTGAGGAGAGCTTAAACCCCGCCCCAGCACATGTAGCAGAGGGAGGCGACTAGCAAATCCTTGCAGCCTGGGAAATCCCTATAGCAGAGCACAGGCATCGCTACACCTAGATCATCCCTGCCCAGCGCCTTTCCAGCTTCTTGAATCGTCCAGTGCTGAAGAGTCCCCCCACTGTCTCCCTGCTCTAACAGTGTAGTAGTGTTTCCTGAGATCCGATCTAAACCGACTTTCCTGCAACTTCAAGCCAGGCGTCTGCATCCTGCTCTCTGCTTCAAGAGAGAAAAGGTGCTACAGCAGTCCTTCATGTATTTAGAATCGTAGAAAATGAGGGTGGCAGGGACCTTGGGAGGTTACATCTAGTCCAACCCCTGCTCCAAGCAGGACCAGCCCCAACTATATCATCCCAGCCAAAGCTTTGTCTAGCCAGATCTTAAACACCTCCAAGGATGGAGACTCCACCACCTCTCTGGGGAGCCTGGTCCAGTGCTTCACCACCCTCACGCAGGTTTCTAACCTGTCTACAGGACCTCCACCTGACACAGGAGGTACACGGTCCCACTAGGGGGAATGCCATACTGGATCTGGTATTGGCAACGGGGGTTGACATGGTAGGGGACCTACAGATCGGTAGCCATCTGGGGGACAGTTATCACCTAATAATAGAATTCACCATAAGACATCGAGTGGGTAAGGTAACTAGTAGGGTGAAAGTGCTAGACTTTAGGAAAGCTGATTTCAATGAACTCAGGCGATTAGTCAAGGACGCACTGCAGAGTAGGAGTGTGCCTTAAGGAAACGATCCTTCGGGCACAAAGCGAGACGTTCCCCGTGTGGGGTAAAAGAGGGAAAGGGGCCAGGAGGCTTCCCTGACTGACCGCAGAAATCCAGGGCAGCCTAAGGGCCAAAAGGGGAGCACATAAAAAGTGGAAACAGGGAGAGATCACCAAAGACGAATATACCTCCTCTGCTCGCGCTTGTAGGGAGGCAGTTAGATGGGCCAAAGCTACCATGGAGCTGAGGATGGCATCCCAAGTAAAGGACAACAAGAAATTGTTTTTTAGATATATAGGGAGTAAAAGGAAGGCCCAGGGAGGAACATGACCCCTGCTAAATGGGCAGAAACAATTGGTGACGGACAGGGGGGACAAGGCTGAACTCCTCAATGAGTTCTTTGCCTCAATGTTCCTAAGAGAGGGGCACGACAAGTCTCTCACTGGGATTGTAGAGAGGCAGCAGCAAGGCGCCAGACTACCATGCGTAGACCCTGAGATGGTGCAGAGTCACTTGGAAGAACCGGATGCCTTTAAGTCAGCAAGCCCAGATGAGCTCCATCCGAGGGTGCTGAAGGCACTGGCCGACATCATTGCAGAGCCACTGGCGGGAATATTTGAAAGCTCGTGGCGCACGGGCCAAGTCCCGGAGGACTGGAAAAGGGCCAATGTGGTCCCAATTTTCAAGAAGGG